TTTTGGATCAGCTCGACAATTTTGTGAAAAGCCTAATCGTACTCTACTGGTGACGGAGTGACTTCAAATTTAAGATTTTTGTCTTTGCATTTTCGGATGAAGCGGAACACGTAAACGAACACTCTTAGCAGCTTGAGGTGTGACGAGTATCCCTCGATTATCTCCACTAAATCATTTGATTTAGCGGCCACGGTCAGTCCGACCGCTGTCTTCCTGGTTTCCAGCTTCAACTCTTCCTCAGAGAGCTCGAAGTGGGGGTTTCTGAGCCGGCTCTCTTCTTCTTCCTTCAAAAACGCTGGTCCACTAAACCAGATCGACTGCGAAATCTCCTGAATGTCTGCTGGGTTCTGTTTAGTTGGAACATGCCGCCCCGTAGCGTCATCTGACCACTCCTGAATCTCAGCTACTCGGTTCGCAACGAATGTTGATAGTGACGAAGTGTGGGATCGGATCCAATGAAGGGTCACTTCCGAATCCGACAAACATACCATTCGTTCAATCGGCACCTCGAGTAGCGATTTAAGTCGGGGACAGAGATCTGCGAGAAGGTGAGCGGCACATAACTCATGCCTTGGAAGCGTTTTCGTATTGAGCGGCGCTACTATCGACTTTTCAGTCAAAAACAAGACCTTGAAACCTTCTGCAGTCTTACTTCGGATATAGACGCACGCTCCGTAAGCTCTCATGGAGGCGTCGGCAAAGACATGTACTTGAATCGGTGACATGGGATCAGTATGCACAAGGCGAGGTATCTTCTCCAGCTGACCCAATGATTATTTTAGAAAGTTCCAAGCTGTTTTCAGATTCATTAGAATTGACACATCCCAATCTAGTTTGTTGAGCCACAGCTCCTGCAGTAGGATCTTTCCCTTGATTACCAAGGGGTTTAACAAACCAAGGGGGTGAGGTTTGTTGTGATGTCACCGATAATATGTTCCGTTTTGTCGCTCAGAGACCCACGACTGAACTGTCAATTTGGAACCGAAAGACGTCTTTGTGCGGTTGGTTGGTTGACTCGGAGTCCGAGATCGTTATCGGTGAGTTCGAGAACCAATTGGTTAGCTCAAACCCTGCGGTTTGAAGAACCTGAGCCACGTCAGACTTAATTGTCTTTAAATCCTCCTCGCAACCAGCACCAGTCAACATATCATCGACATAAAAGTCGGACCCGATAACTTTAGCAGACTTTTGGAATGAGAGCTTTGCAGACTCACTCAACCTTTTCAAACACCGAATAGCCAAAAATAGTGCAGGACTCAGATGGGTCTCTTCTCCACACTATCAACTGAAACTGCCTATCCGCCTTATTCACCATCACTTGGCGATACATCTTTTTTACATCGGCAGTCAGGGCGAACCTGTGCAGACGGAAGCGGAGCAGCGTTGAGTATAACTCCTCTTGAATAGTTGGTCCGACCATCAGAATTTCATTCAACGCCACCTGAGAGGACGTCTTCGACGACGCATCGAACACGACGCGAAGCTTGGTGGGCGTACTTTGGGGCCGAAGGACACACTGATGTGGAATTACGTAGTGTGGAGCAGAAGGAACAATATTGTCAGTCTGCGACATATGACCTAAGGAGAGGTACTCTTCCATGAATTCCAAGTAGATTTTCTTCAACTCAGGGTCACGAGACAATCTTCTTTCGAGCGACAAAAACCGCCGCTTAGCAATCTCGAAGGAATTGCCCAAACAGTTTGGATCTGATTTAAACGGCAGCTTTTCGTCAAACCGACCTGAAGGCAGTCTTTCTTTAATGGTCCTCACATAACTTGTGTTCAGGAGATAAAGACTTTAACGTGCATGAGAAGTGAAAGGATTATTCTGACTAGGAGGGGGAGAAGAATTCTGTGGGGGTGATGGCAACGCTAAACTTTTATCAACAGCTGTGTACCTATGCAATAAGGCATGATGTGATTGGCATCGTTTTGCATTCCACAGTGTGTCCTTGTTGCAGACAGTTGATGCAGAGTGATGCCGATTTGACAAATTCGAATCTTTGCATCACCGCAAGCCGCGCAAATGGACTGCAAGTAGTCAACAAATGGTCTTTTGCATTGCAGTAACTACATTGTTGGTTTTTAGCATTCGCAGTAGAGCACGCGAATGAGCTCCGATTGTGAGGCTTGCTTGGCACAGCTTTCTGCTCCTGCTTTGGTTTTGCCGATTCTTCGGCCGAAAGATGCTGATATCTGCGATTAAGAATTTTTTCGCAGTCAGCCCAAAGCGGCAGCTTCTCATAATCGAGCTGTTCTCCCCATTTGGTCACAGGATCGACTCTGTTCAAGACGAGATGAATAAGCATTGCATTTGAGATCTTTGGCTCATCGCCTATCGACGACAGGGAACCAAATATCAATGAGGTGGTATCGATTAGGTTACTTAAGGACGATGCAGATTGCTGGGTCATTTTGGGAGGATTAAATAGGGCAGCAATATGGTTCAAAAAGATCAGACATTCGTTATCGTAGACCCTGGCCATGGCTTTCTCATAATTACTCTCGGTTACTTGAAACGCCCTTACCGTTCCCAACGCTTTACCAGAGAGGCATGAAAGCAAATGGTTAAACTTTTCGATGAGTGGAATGCTTTCGTCATTGTGAACAAGAGTCTCAAACAAACTAATGAACTTTGGCAGAGCTAACTTCGGAAGTCGAGCACGAGTTGGGGCAACAGAAGCTGATATTGAAGGCATTTTATCGCTGGCTGTCTTCAAGGCGTCGATAAGCGAAATTATCCTTGCCTTGGTTACAATCGAGAGTTCTTCCAACTCGGCTCCAAACCCATCGTCACTATCTATTTCTTCGATTGATTCTTGACATTGGCTTGCCTTGGCTATGGTTGCTTTCAGTACGTCGAGTCTGCGGAATCTCTAATAAACGGCTAATAAACATACAAAAAATACCTAGCGATCTCTACTGCCGAGGGATATCCATTCCTCAAGAAGTTTTCCACCAGAAGAGGAAAGTGGAAAATCAGGAATACCATCAAATACAGAGGTATTTGTGCAAAACATTTAAAGCTCGAGTAAAGACAAAATCATTAAAACCCCGCAGTTACCGTCTTGTGCTATCTTGGCACATCCGTATGACATAGTAGAGCTAGATTTTCATGTAATTAGTAAAGTTTTTACATATATCATATATTAACATACATCAAACCATCTTGGACGCAGAACATATATACATATAATTTATAATAGTTTTTATAAATTTAAATCAAACAAAAACCGAGTTTGGCGGCTGCAAATTGTTATGTATTTCAACGACGAAAAAAAGGGAGACTAAAAAAAGGGAATTGCGCTCGAATTCAATGATATTAAACGACTTCAAAATTTAACAATGTATAAAAATTAGCGTCGTGACGCGACAATCGCATTATTGCACTTTTGTAGCTGGCTTGCACTTGTTTCCTTCCATTTTTATACCCGTACTCGAAGGTTTAAGGTTTACTTTCCCATAAAGGTTTTTCAATTGGTGATTAACCCTCATCCAAAAAATTTAATATTATACATGTTAAGTTAATAAAATAAGCAGGAAATTAATAACAGGAAACTCAGCCACTACATACTGCACCTCCCACGGAAGGACTGCAGAATGTTGGTGGGAATACTCACAGGTCACTGTCTGGCCGCGGCACATGCTGTCAAACTAGGCATGACCAACAGTGGCCACTGCAGGAAATGCGAGGAATCCGGGGCAGCTGAAAGCCTGGAACATCTCATCTGCAACTGCCCGGCTCTCTCAAGGGCTAGGAGAATATACCTGGGCGCCCCGGTGCTGGCATCGCTGGAGGATGCCTCCAGGAGGACGCCAGGGGAACTGCTAGCCTTTGCCAAAAACACCTCGATCCTTAGGGACTTCAAAACCTCATAAATATTTTCGAAAGGTTCATACACCCCCATCCGGACAACTAAGGGCCATATTGGCCTATGCGTGGCCCCGTGAGGGCCGTCTGGGTTAACCTAACCTAACCTAATAAAATAAGCATTTTAGTAAATCACTATCCGATCCGCTGACTGAATTTTCATTTAACGATTCCGCGGTCAATCCGCTGCAGTCCGAGGTGGCCACTTAGGGCGATTCGGACTTTCGAACTTAGTAAAGTAATGCCACCTTTTTTAAGCCGAATTCGGAGCAATATATTTAATATTTAATTAAGCATTACAAAAAATAGATCATTGCAGTAAAACTTCCATTACGTCAAACGTGTGCATACTCTTTGACAAATTGTGAAAACATTTGTAGTCATTTGAAGTTCTACCAGGTGGCATAGCTTCAAAATGCCAAAACAGAACTAACAAACTATTTCTACACATAATTGCCATTGTATTTATGCGAAAAACCCCTGTTCGTCTAAATGCAGACCCATGGCAGCACAAATAGAAGCATAGCGATCAGTATACCAAAAACGGGTAATTTTAATAAACTAAATTAGCAGTAATTTGAGAAGACAATCACAAAAACCACTTACGTATCGTCTGAACGCGAAAACGAGTCCAACTGTTTTGATAAGATAAAATCAATAAAACTGCAAAATGAACCCTATTCGAATTGAATCTAGAAATGTGTCAACCTTTGGTTTGTGACAATGCTAAGAAAAATGAAATCGGACGGAATTCTGTGGCATGGGGGAAATTTTGAAGCGGAAATCCTCTGCGCGGTTTCCCATTTCACTAGTGATTTCTGTGGCACCCCTGATATGCTTACTTTTGGTCGACGGAAAAATTAGCGTGCCTGAGTACTAGGCTTAAATAGAAAAAAGTGGTTCGAAGCGGGGCAAAATACGTGTAGTGTCGAATCCAATAAAAATTTGTTTAAGTTTTTAAAAACTTAACTTTTATTCCGCTGGATTAGCTGTTCCCCCGAGATGTGATGAGATCTGTGTGAAAAGGCTTTGCTATTATTATTGTTCTGTTTTTTATGTTCCAGAAGAATGCTATCTCAGTTATGCTATGTTAAGCTGGTATAACTATCGAATTAACCAAATATCTATCGATATTATTATCTTTATTTTCAAAAAGGCGCGTATTTATTAGCTATTATTTGTTAAAACCTTTTTTTGTAATGTGTGATAATAACGGCACTGCTTTTCGCAAGCCATGGTATGTAATCGTGTAAATTAATTCAAGCATAAAATTAATATATTTGCAGGGTTGAGAAATATCGTCCATATTCATTAGATGACCTTATATCCCATGACGAAATAATTTTAACAAGTAAGTTTACCTTTAATTGATGAAATGAAAAAAATTTCTGATTCAATTTTAGTCAATCGCTTTATAAGTCAAAAGCAGCTTCCACACCTTCTATTTTATGGACCACCTGGGACTGGAAAGACCAGTACAATATTGGCATGTGCCCGACAACTTTACTCGCCGGCGCTGTTTAGGTCCATGATACTAGAGCTCAATGCCTCCGATGATAGGGGTATTGGAATTGTTCGTGGCCAAATTCTTAACTTTGCATCTACGCGAACAATTTTCTGCGATACTTTCAAACTTATTATATTAGATGAGGCAGACGCCATGACTAACGACGCTCAAAATGCTTTACGACGCATCATTGAAAAGTACACGGACAACGTTCGTTTTTGTATAATTTGTAATTATCTAAGCAAAATAATACCAGCGCTACAATCGCGGTGCACTCGTTTTCGCTTTGCGCCGCTGTCCCCTGATAAAATGATACCTCGATTGGATCAAATTGTTCAGTCGGAGGAGTAAGTATTTACAAAAAAAAAAAATGTTTGTATTGCATTGTACTGTTATAGTATACAGATTACAGAAAATGGAAAGAAGGCTCTGCTAACTCTTTCAAAAGGCGATATGCGAAAAGTTCTGAACGTTTTACAGAGCACTGCTATGGCATTTGATATAGTCAACGAAGATAATGTGTACATGTGTGTTGGCTATCCTTTACGACAAGATATTGAAAACATATTGAAGGCCTTGCTTTCCGGGCACAACTTTGAGGCATCATTTCGAAGTGAGCAAAATTTAAATTCAAGTTGAACATATATATGCACATAAAAGTATATTTTTATTTACGCAGATGTGGTCGTTGCCATGTGCGCTAGAGGTCTAGCGCTGGAAGATATAATTACGGAGTTGCATTTAATTGTGATGAGATGTAAGTGTTGAAAAAATCTGTTTGCTCTAATTTTGTATATTTTTTTTTAAAACAGTGGAATTACCGATTTCGATTATGAATGAATTGATTGTAAAGCTTGCACACATCGAAGAACGTTTAGCAAAAGGTTGCACTGATATTGCAAATACGGCAGCGTTGGTTTCTGCTTTTTTTATATGCCGTGACATGGTTTCATTGCATAAGGAATAAAGATAAAAAGTTGCATAATAAACTGACAGCTGTTTATATATAAATAAATTATTAGCGTTTTCATACAATTAATCTTTATCCAATTGTACTTTATTCGAACAGTTTTAAATTGGCATGTCCCACCATAAACCATTTTGTAAAATCGAAAAATTCGTAAAGCTACCTAACTACACGCAGCAACAGGTTTTTTGCATCTTGAGCATCTATAAACCATAACATAACCTCTCAAGTTTAGTGGAAACTGCCAGTTCTACCAACCCAACTCGCTCAAATTTTTAAATCAAACGAAGGATTCCGCAGTAAAAATAAGTTAATACTTGTAGTGTTAAGATGTAGCATGAACTAAAATTAAAATTTTTTAAATTGATTAATTTTGTTTATTTTTTTATCCAAGTCTAGAGGCCTTTCCAGATCCGTATAAGTAGATGTTAAGTAGATATTACCGGTGTTATTCAAGCCGAGGCATTTTTTATCTCTTATTGAACGGAATGACTGGCACGGTTGAGTATCAGATTAAATATATATATATATACAAATGAATCCCTATTTTCCTTGGTCCCGGCATCACGCGTGAACGGCTGGACCGAGCGAGAAACAGAATGACTAGGGGTTCTCTTGCATGAGGGGGCGGGGGAAGCAAGTGAAAATTCTGGCTATAATTATGATCCAATCTGATTGAGATTCAGCAATTTTTTAGATATGGTCATTATCTACAATACTGCGTTTTTAGTTTTATCGTATCTTTAAAATTGTGCCTGCCACAGATTTTCGTCCTTTGTGGGGCGGAAGGGGGCGGGGCGAAATTTTGAAATACACTTGTAGCAGTGTGATACCACATGAGTTTGGAAACAAAATTTGGTTCCTCTAGCTTTTATAGTCTCTGAGATCTAGGCGCTCATCGAGACAGACAGACGGACAGACAGACATGGCTATATCGACTCGGCTATTGATGCTGATTACGAGATTCGAGATTTCAGTTTACGTAAACGTGTGTGTGCCATGTATTCACACATACTGTGCTTGTGTGTGGGCTCTACAATTGTTGGCCGCTTGAATTGGTTTTTCGTTTTGTTTTGAGGGCTGATGTGATGTAGCGACCTATTCAGGGCCGGATCAACCCTTAACCGGGCCCTGGGCAACCATCAATCTGGGGCCCTCCTTTATTTTGATTTTTCTCAGTGGCTATTATATTTTTTATTCATTATTTGGAGTTTTGTTTTTCAACAAAATTTTTCTGTTATCCCTAGGGGGCCCTAGGCAACCGCTGCCCTGGCTATTCCGTCAGACTTCATATTTCTTGGTGTGTTCTGTAGCTCGACTCGACGCGGGTTAAGTCATTGACGAAGCCGAAAGCAGAGGCAAAGGCTAGCCTAAAAGAGAATGGAAGAAATACCCCGCGCGCCCGACGCAACATTAGCTTTTCAAAACAAAACGAAAAAATATTTTATGAACCGCTTCGTTAATGCCTCAACCCGCGTCGAGTCGAGCTACAGAACACACCAAGAAAATATGAAGTCTTACGACGGGAATAGGTCCAGGGCCGGATTAGCAGTTGCCTAGGGCCCCCTAGGGATAACAGAAAAATTTTGTTGAAAAAACAAAACTCCAAATAATGGATACAAAATATAATAGCCACTGATAAACATACAAATTAATTAAACAAACTTTAAATTTATAAGTTTTTATTTGAAATGAAAAAAGAAGGAACTGGCGTGAAAAAATGGAGGGCCCCAGATTGATGGTTGCCCAGGGCCCGGTTGAGGGTTTATCCGGCCCTGAATAGGTCGCTACATCACATCAGCCCTCAAAACAAAACGAAAAAACAATTCAAGCGGCCAAAAATTGTAGAGCCCACACACAAGCACAGTATGTGTGGAATACATGGCACACACACGTTTACGTAAACTGAAATCTCGAACAAAGTCGGTTTCGGCAGCTAAAAATTATTCTATGCATACAATCATCAATTTTGGAGTGTACACGTACACAACACATGCATGCTTGCTGCCAGTCGGCTCGTGTGACGTCATGAGCCGAACGCGGCCATTCCCAGAGCCGAACGCGGCCATTCCCAAAGCCGAAGATCTGGGAACGTTCGCTGCAAGCTCAGCTGCGCCCCTTTCGTTGTATGAACTGGCACATCTATATACTGTATGATTAGTGCCCCAAAGGCTCTCTTTCGGCTTCGTCAATGTCTCGACCCGCGTCGAGCGACAGAATCGTCAACAAAATATGAAGTCTGACGACGGGAATAGGTCCAGGGCCGGATTAGCAGTTGCCGGGGGGCCCCCCTAGGGCTAACAGAAAAATTTTTTGAAAAAACAAAACTCCAAATAATGGATACAAAATATAATAGCCACTGATAAACATACAAATTAATTAAACAAACTTTAAATTTATAAGTTTTTATTTGAAATGAAAAAAGAAGGAACTGGCGTGAAAAAATGGAGGGCCCCAGATTGATGGTTGCCCAGGGCCCGGTTGAGGGTTTATCCGGCCCTGAATAGGTCGCTACATCACATCAGCCCTTAAAACAAAACGAAAAAACAATTCAAGCGGCCAAAAATTGTAGAGCCCACACACAAGCACAGTATGTGTGGAATACATGGCACACACACGTTTACGTAAACTGAAATCTCGAACAAAGTCGGTTTCGGCAGCTAAAAATTATTCTATGCATACAATCATATATTTTGGAGTGTACACGTACACAACACATGCATGCTTGCTGCCAGTCGGCTCGTGTGACGTCATGAGCCGAACGCGGCCATTCCCAGAGCCGAACGCGGCCATTCCCAAAGCCGAAGATCTGGGAACGTTCGCTGCAAGCTCAGCTGCGCCCCTTTCGTTGTATGAACTGGCACATCTATATACTGTATGATTAGTGCCCAAAGGCTCTGCTTTCGGCTTCGTCAATGTCTCGACCCGCGTCGAGCGACAGAATCGTCAACAAAATATGAAGTCTGACGACGGGAATAGGTCCAGGGCCGGATTAGCAGTTGCCGAGGGCCCCCCTAGGGCTAACAGAAAAATTTGTTGAAAAAACAAAACTCCAAATAATGGATACAAAATATAATAGCCACTGATAAACATACAAATTAATTAAACAAACTTTAAATTTATAAGTTTTTATTTGAAATGAAAAAAGAAGGAACTGGCGTGAAAAAATGGAGGGCCCCAGATTGATGGTTGCCCAGGGCCTGGTTGAGGGTTTATCCGGCCCTGAATAGGTCGCTACATCACATCAGCCCTCAAAACAAAACGAAAAAACAATTCAAGCGGCCAAAAATTGTAGAGCCCACACACAAGCACAGTATGTGTGGAATACATGGCACACACACGTTTACGTAAACTGAAATCTCGAACAAAGTCGGTTTCGGCAGCTAAAAATTATTCTATGCATACAATCATATATTTTGGAGTGTACACGTACACAACACATGCATGCTTGCTGCCAGTCGGCTCGTGTGACGTCATGAGCCGAACGCGGCCATTCCCAGAGCCGAACGCGGCCATTCCCAAAGCCGAAGATCTGGGAACGTTCGCTGCAAGCTCAGCTGCGCCCCTTTCGTTGTATGAACTGGCAAATCTATATACTGTATGATTAGTGACTAGGCTTAACTCTTTTTTGTGTACGGGTGTAAAAATAAATTCAGTCGGTTTAGAGTGCTTATATAGGACAGATGATTTAAATCTGTTTAGACCGATTTAGCTAATTATTTAAAAATAGTTTAAAAGGGCTTGAAAAAGTCCGAAAATTGTGCGTAAAATGTAGAATACATTTTTGATGTGTTTTGAAAATTGTTTTGTGTTAGTATTATCACCATTAATATATTTGTAAAGATTAATAAAGATGCTGCACAAGAAGATGGTTTTATTATTCGTATTATTCGACTCACTTCTTATCCATGCAACCACAATGTGAGGTGTGCTATGATTGCGTTTCAGTTGCGTTTGTTCGATTTTCCGAATATTTCAACTCTGTTCGCCTATCGTGTGAACTATCACAACTAGCAATAACAAAAAAAAAACATTGACGATGAAAAATACAGTAAAAAAGTAAATTCCCATATATATATTACTTTTAGCCAATTTTGTCACTAGGATCGAGATTTTTTTAGAAGTATTTGCCTTTACAGGAACTTCTAGACTTCTGGAAGGAAAAATATAATGGTTTTCGTGGTGTACGGAAGAACTCTCACATACATGAATGAAAATCATTACAAATAAAATTGAACAATTAAACTTGTTATTCATTGAGACTTGAAAATGTCCCCCCCAATTTTTTTTTCTTTCTTTTTATTTTTTTTTTTTTTTTTTTAATGTTTTTTTAATTTTTTTTCTTTTGTGCGTTCTTTTTTAACTCTTTACTTTTTGTTCTTTCTTTTTCCTTTCCTCGCCCTTCTTTTTTTTTTTTTTTCTTTTTCTTTTTTTTTTTTTTTTTTTTTTTTTTTTTTTTAATTTTTTTTTTTTTTTTTTTTTTTTTTTTTTTTTTTTTTTTTTGCGCTTTTTTTCGGTTTTTTTTTTTTTTTTTTTCTTCCCTTTCTTCCTCCTGTTTACTCTTTTTTTCCCCAAATCCTCTTACTCTCTTGTTTGCGGGGAGCAGCCGTTAATAGTTCCTAAGAAATCGATATCACATAGTCACACATCATCTCTTATACGAAAAATCGCTCTCTCAGTATGTTCCCGAGCCCACACACATATATCATTACTGCTTATAGTGCATTGCTTCGCCCTGTTCTCGCAGCAGTCCAGAATATTTGTCGAATCATAGTTCACGGCCACGGCCTCAACCCTTGTAACCCATCGAGAAAAAAAAACCTTTGTAAAATTTACCAACGGATTACATTATTTGTAAATGTGGAGTCAGACTTGCCGAAAAAGCTCGGCAGCTTCGAACAACTCTTTTTACCTGAGAAGATACCATTCGTTACGTTGCTGGTCCAACTGCCTAAATGGGATTGAATGAAACAAAAAGGACCTGTAATTTTGCTATGACCGACTCCTAGGTATGGATATATCTTGGATATATACCCTACCTGTTCATGTCCATATGTGCTGATGTTGTGGACAGTTACTTTTATTCCCTATACCTAAGCCTTGGTGTCGATAGATATACATAAATACCTGTTATGGTCAAATGTCGACCTTTTCCTTCCCTCACAAATTATATCTTTTTCCCTTCTAGTTATTCATAGAAAATATATATAGCTCTTTACCTATAGTATCCCTGCCTCAGTGTAGTTCTGACTTCCATCATAATACGATCGTGTGTGTTCAAAAAATACTACTTGTTTCTAATTGCAAGCAATTGAAATGGATAGCTCAAGCCGTTCATATTCATGTGTTTACAAAGCAGACTCTTTT